TGGAAAATTTTGAAAACTTCCTAGCAAATTACTTATGGGTCAAAATATATCCAAATGGGATTTTAAAAAGAGTGATACAATTTGCATCTTAGAAAAGAAAAAGGTGTAAAATTCCACAGCTGAGCTGCATACCTAAACAGTTGGAGAAATAGCTATCTAGTAAATCCACAGAAACTAGAAAAATAGTAAAGAGTGGAAATTAATGAAATAGAAAACCAACATGTAATAGGGTATCAGTCAAGTCAAAACTTACCTTTTAAAAAGGATTTATAAAACAATCAAACTTCTAGCATCAGAGTAAGAGAGGGCACAAATAAATATTGTTAGCAATGGATGGGAGCATATGCTTTGGATGCATTACAGAGAGTGAACAAGTAGAGAGACGTTGTGAACAACATATGCCAATCAACTTGAAAGTTTGGACAACATAGGTGAAGTTTTGGAAGAAAAAATGACTTAGGGCAGAGAAGGAAAAATGAGCAAAATCCCTATATATAAGAGGAAATTTAATCAGTAATAAAGAATCTTCCTACAAAGAAAACACCAGGTTAGATGAGTTTATAGGCCAATTCTACTAAACGTTCTAGAAACTGGAGAAGATTATTATAACATGACAAAGAATTATCTGGAATTAGAAAGAAAAGAAGGTCCCATAAATCCATATGCAAGAGACCCAACCCACTGGAAAATGGATAAAAACACAAATACAAGTAAGGAAACATAAGTAATTCATAAACATATGAAAGATATTTAACTATATTACGAATTAGGGAAGCGGAAATCAAAACCCAACGATGCACCAATTCATACTCACCAGGATGACATATATTAGGAAGTCCTACCATAATGTCAGGTGCAGGCAAGGGGTTAGGAACTCCCTTTACCAGACATGATTATAAATTGGCACAATTACTTTAGAGATTTGATATTACTATGTAAATTTGAACATATTCCTATTCTCCTATTGAGGAATTCTAATTCTAGGTATATCCCCCAGAGAAATTCTTATACAAGTCACCAACACACGTGCACAAGAAAAATATGCATAGAAGCTTTGTAGTAGCAAATGGACACAAATGTTCCAATGGTAAAGCAACACTAGGGTGAATGAATGGTGACAGTCATACTGGGCAGTAGGGCACAGCTGAGAAAATGATGAAACTAAGCTGTAACCACCACCATGAACAGATTAGGAAAATGTTAAACCAGTGGGTTTTAAATGTTTTTTGAGTATTGGAATTACCTGGAGAGCTCATGGAGAACACAGAAGGCTTTGCTTGGTGAAGGATCAGACCCGCATTTTATCAAGTTCCCAAGGTGACACAGATACCCAGCAAAGTTTGAGAACCAATTGTGTTAGAACGCAATTGCAGGGGGCCTGCAGATGGTTTAGTTTGTACACAGCTAAACAAACTGTAAGACAAAGTTGTACATTATTTGGGCTATACGCATAAGTCATCACATGACAAAGTTAGCTGCTGGTGAGGAGGAAAGGGTAAGTATTTGGGGAGGAGGCATCCAACCAAGATGCAGGGTATACTTTATTTCTTAGCTTGGCAGAAGGCACACTGATCATTTTATTATTCATACTTAATGTATGTAATGTTTGTGCCTAAGATATATTTCGCAGTATAAACTTCCAAAGTCATAAAACAAAAGCAAGATTTATTTTGAGCCTGTGCACCCCAGGAGGCATCTGGGTATGACACATTATTGCTGCTACTTCAGACTTGCTGATTTTAGTGAGGGTAGTGTAGGTCACAGAGTATATATATATACATTGTCTTTCTTCTGCTGCTCATCACTGGCACTGTCTGGAAGGAATGTTTAACTGGGACAAAGGAAAAGTTTGTTCTCCAGGTGGGTTGTGTAAATTGGCTGCTTGGATAGCCTTCTGCATCTGTAGGAAGGCCCAGAGGTTGGATGTCTTCACATGGGTCCAGAGGCTGGCCCACTGTGGAGGCTGGGAGCGGTGCCTGACAGCAGTCAGCAGGGAGTGAGTGAACCCCTGTGTGTGCCCTTGTGGTACTGAAGAGACCCAGTGGGACCAACAGCATGGGAAAGAGCCTGGCACAGAGCTACTGGAATTGATGGATGATGTAGGGTTAGAATTCTCTGAGGGGAGGAATACATCCTTGGGAGAAGAGGTGGCCCTTTTCATTGATCTCAAGGGACCTGGCGGAGTTGGTCTGTTCTTCTGTTCTTTTCCCTACTCTTCTTAGATTCTGGTTGCAACTGTCTCTGTGTTGGACACTAAGAATAGCCCCGGAAGGATGGGGAGACAGGGAGGAGTGGAAGGCAGTGTGTGTGCTTTGATCCAGAGTGAGTGGATGAGACTGGGCCTTCAGAGACAGAGTCTGCAGCTGATGCAGCTAATGGGTTGGGTTGAGCTGTGCCAAGTTTGTAAGGCGTTCTGGGCAGGAAGAATGGAGAAAGAACAGTATAGAGACCACAGCAGCTGGGAACGGGGGCAAAGCCCCCCACCCCCATTGTGTTGTGGCTGCCCTTGGCTCACTTAGCCACTCCCCCCTGATTCTGCCACAGGTTGCCAGGAAAGATGATGGGCGTGCTCTCCAGAAAGGTATTGTGTACCCTGTAAGTCAGGCTCCCTACAGAGTTCCAGGGTCCCACTTGGGGTGCAGTGGGGAGTGCTCAGGGACACCGACCTACCAGGAAGCTGGGAATGGAGGAGAGGTTTAATAAAATAGCTTCTATAATGGCTCTGAAATCAATGAGTAAGTGAGAAAAACAAAAGGTATGTGACCTCCCCATTGCCTCTCCAAGGTGTGCGGGCTCTGATTAACCCCCTTATGCATAATTCAAATCATATTCTTCCTGACCTCATGTTTTTTCTAATTAGAAACAATTTCCTCCCCCAATCTTATGTATTCCTTCTCCAAGTAGAGCTAACTGGTCCGTCATTGCCCTTTCCTTCAGTCCTACTTACTGTTCGATCAGAATGTGATTTCCCTCACCTCACTATTGATGCTCAGGGCAGGGCCTCTGTTAGCAGGGCAGCTATGAGCAGAGTATAAACATTCTGCTCAGCTACAGTCTGTGTTCTGTTTCCTGAAGCCCAGCCAGTTCTGGCCCCGTCTCACCTGATAGTCCTGAGATGTGAACACCTTGCACTTTCTCCACCTCTGGTCTGTTGGTCCCAATCCAAGACAAGATGATCTTCCCTAAAACAGTCTTTGGTCTGAAATACAAAGTTTAGTGGTTTAAACCCAGATTTACTTGAATTCTTTTGAGATTGCTACATTTCCACATCCTTGGGAACTATCGATCATTCTAAAAGGATATGAGTCTCAGTGTTTCACTTTCTCCCAGATCCGGCATGTTGTTGCAACTGGCCAGTCTTCATGCTCATGTCCAGTTCCTAAGACAGTTCCTGGGACAGAGAGTTTACAAGTTCACTCATCAACATGTTACATTCTGGTTTAAGTGATTTGAACCCCCACCACCATCACTAATTTCTAACCTTATTACCTCCATTTACACCAGTTCAGTACCTCAAAGTGAGACTATGTCATCTGTAAGGAGGAAGAGTTAAGGAGGAAGATTTAAGACCTGTTTGAAACACAGTTATTCACAGTTCAAATCTTAACTTGCAACCAACCACCGATTTAGTCACTTTTGAGAGACAATAAACAAAAACTTTTCTTAACCTGACTCCACCTCTAAAACCAACCCTTTATTTGTGCTAGTTCGTAATTTTTGTCATTCCTATATTGCTCCTAGCCTTGAAGCAGTTCTGTTACTTTCTTGTCTTCTCATGTCATCATATGGCAAAAGCAGCCACAGAGTTTTGAAACAGAAATCTGATTGTAACTGCTTTGTACCTAAACCTTGCCAGGGCTCCTCACTGTGCTTAGCTGGTTCTACTGACCCCGCCCCCACATCTGGCCCTGAACGGGAGCTCAAGGCTGTGTCTGACCACTGCTCCTTTCTGCCCGGAGCATTCACATGCCCTTCTACCTCTCCTGGAACCCTGTGCCACAGTGTATCACTCGCTGCCTCTGTATTCAGCAGCGCTGCCTACTCAGCTCCGCACTGCCCTCCCCTCCACTTATACTTCTGAGCACTTTGCCTAACAAGTTCATCTTTCAGGTTCAGCTTCAGTGCTAATTCCTCACAGAAGCCTCGTCCTAGAAGGAGCTCCCTGTAGCCAGCTGCCTTTACTATTTCCATGCTTGAAAATGCTCAGTGAAAATGGGATAGTAATAGGATATACCTCCTAGAATTCCTGAAATTGTTGTCAGCACCAAATGATATAATGTGTATAAAGAGCTTAGCAGACATCTAACATGGAGGCACAATGGGTTTCCTGTGCCCCTAGATTTCCTTATTGCAGCACTCAGCCTATTTCATGCTACGAAGACCTTGAGCTTTACTGGGTGGGATTAGGCCTGACTCATTCAAGGCTGTGTCCCCAGTGCTTAGTATGGAACAAACCACACAGGAGATGTTGGGTAGATTTTGTGCAATGAACGGGTGAAGGAATGAGTGGATATATATTCAGAATTTGTATGCAGATCTTTAAAAAAAAGCAAAGCCAGTTATCAAAGAATTAAGAGAGACTCATGGCATTTTGGTCAGTTTTGTCTCAGAAAATCAGGTTCGTTTCTCTCAGGGAGATGACCTCCAACAGGAAGTTTAGCTTTAGGTATCAACCACCTGAGTATCTGTTGCATCCCAGCTGATGCCTACCATGACATTGACAGCATGGGTTCTTCAGAGCTTGACCCTATAGAAGCTAACGCACTGGTGGGTTGGCCACAGACATCTTTTTCTGGTCTGCAGGAAAGCTGTTGAGTAATCCTGTTTGTATTTGGGTTAGCAAGTATTATTTATAAATAACTGATTAATGAACTGTGTGATGTGGGCCTGATCCCTAACCCCTTTGGCTATTGAGGCTGTTGGCTCAATATCTCCTGATGGGCCTTTTCCAGACACAGTTCATGAGTCAATGGTAAGCGTGGGTCTTGTTATCTTCCCAGGAAATCAGCGACCCAGAGATCCTGGATCTGGTGCACAGCGCCCTTGGCAGGATGACCGTGGTCCGGCAGATCTTCCCATCTGCAAAGGACAACCAGAAATGCATGAGGAACAACCACCGCATCTCCTCCCTGCTCTGTGACCCCCAGGAAGGCTACCTTCAGATGCTGCAGGTCAGTGCTCCCCTGTCAAGCTCCCTCCAGAAGGGAGTCTCACTCATGCCCTTGGCCTGCTACGGGCGACGGGCAAAGATATGCCTCAGCTTCAGCTGAGCACTGTCGCCCACCAACTTTAATTACTGGAACCCTGTCATTTGCTGAAATTGAAACCAGTCAACTGGGCAGTGCCTCTGAGCAGCATTAGCAGGCAATTATGCCTGTTGTCAGCAGACAGGCCATATTAGCTCACTGGAGGCCTCTTGTATTTAAAAGTTACACGTTCGGGGAGTAAAGAGATTGCTGCCTCTCAGGCTTCTGCGCTGACTACTTTGTGGGTGATGGGTTCATCTGGCAGGATCGGAGATGGAGCCTTCCTGTGGAGAGTCAGCATTTTGAACCTGTTTTAGGGTCTTGCCTGTAGAAAGTCAGTAATATAGACATAGCTTTTGTGAAACAGCTAGGGAGTGTCCCAGCTCACCTGCTGAGTGTGAAGGCGGAGGCTTCACTCCAGGAGGACACTCCTGGAGTCCCAGCTGAGCAAGGGGAGGTGAGAGGGCAGGACCATGACATGCCTAGCTCTTGTACTCCATCCAAGGCAACGGGTACAGAGTGTTTCCGGTTAGTGCTTCTACCACACCTGATGCCGTATATGCAATCCGTGTTAGCTTCTCCTGGGGCCACGGAGGAGGATGGTGAGTTGTGGACCTATTGTGAGAGGTCATTTTCTCTCTAGATGTTTGAGAGAAACAGTTTGAGAGTGCCCCCTGGCAGCTCAGAATCCACTTCTCCATTAAGAATATCATGCATAAGGAAACTTGTGCTTGATGCTTGTGGGAGACACATCACAGAAGGAAATTTCTCCCACTTGAGTTTGCAGAAATTACCCAGAAGTTTATGCATGTGATATTCTGCATTTGAAACTAGTTATACCTTCTTTACCCAGCCAAGCATAACAAGTGGAAATCAGGTTTCAGGACAGATTTATCCTGTATCTACCACCTGAGTATCTGTTGCATCCCAGGACATTTTGGTATTAACCTTATCATGAGGCACACATTTTGGGGAGGGGGATTATTAGACTCTCTCGAGTGGTCTGGGTACATGTGTAATTTGCCAGAGCATCAAATCCATTCTCTAGTCTGTGTTTGGGGAGGGGCAAGGGAAACATGCCCCAAGAGATGGTAAACACTGGAAATATGTTCTTGGTTGAGGAGGGAATGTAGCAGACACAGATTTTAGCTGGAGTAATTCCCACTATCCCCATGTCTACTGCTCCCAGGAGCCACCACAATCTGCCATCTTTCTAACATGGTAAAGGGTTAGCCTAGAGTGGACTAAGGCCCCTGAAGGGCCCATGGACCTGAGATCCCTGGGTCAGGGGTGGAAGGTACTTAATGCAAGATTTTATATATTTGGATGCTGCTGGCCTGCTCTACCTTCTTCCTTTCTGGAGCTTGGCAGAAGAGGTCAGGACCAAGTAAGTCCCCTTCATGGGGCCTCTGCATTTACCTCCATACTCTCTACATGGATAGAAGCAGAGTGAGATGATCGGCTCTAGGCAGTGTGTGCCCATTCCCATATCCTCACCTGGGACAGGAGGGTGCAGGGACCCCGCCACTCTGGGTGGCCAGACCCCAGGAGGGTCTTACTCCCAGGCATGGTCTCCCTTTGACAGGCTTTATCCCTCTCCAGCCATGCCCCTACTCCACCCCATCGGCGCATCAGTTTTTTTCCAGTTCTTGCCTGGTCACTGTGCTCTTTCTACTTGGGGAGAGCAGGAGGGGCCCCTTTCCTCTGCACAAGTGTACGTTGTATAGGTTGTGGGTGGTGGGAGAGTGGAAGTTCTTGTCAAGGCCTATGATTGCTTGTTTTTTCATTGACTAAAATGTGGTCTCTTTGGTGGCATATTAGATACTCTAGATGCAAAGAATACATCCCAGAGGACAGGAGAGAAAAGGAGACTGGCAGGCTGGATGAGGAATCCAGCGGAGGGCATACTAAAATGGCCCACAGCTGTTAAGAGGGTAACAAAGGCACAGCTCCAAGGTGTGGCTGGTTATCATCAAATGTGGTAAACACAGTATCAGACCTAAAACCCTGGCCGCCCTCCCTCCCTTTGTCTGTTCCTGCTGACACCCAGGCACTCCATGAAGAGCAAGACAGAAGAGTGACATCAGAGAGATCTTGTGGTGAGAGTGACAACAGTGGGAGAAGCAGGAGTAGTATTAGTAGTAGCAGCAGTAGTAATAACAGCAGTAGTAGCAATAGCAGTGCAGTAACAGTACTAGTAGTAACGGCAGTAGCAGTAATAATACTGACAGTAGCAGCAGCACAGCAGCAGAATCTCAAGAGCCACATTGCATGGGTTCAAATCCCAGGAACTCTAGTTACTAACGAATTATTGAATTACTATTTATGTGTCATTTTGTGCCTCAGTTCCCTGTTCTGGAAATTGGAAGGTAAAGTGTCTATCCCTTAGAGACACAATGAAAATTAAATGAGGGAACATACAGAAAACATTTAGAATAAGACTGAGCTATTCACTGTGTTGTTACAGAGGAGGTAGTCAGGTGTGTTTAGAGTTTCCAGCAAATATGCCCTCTTTTTTTTTTTTTTTTAATTTTGTAAGGTATAATCCACCTGTCATCCTGAGTATACTCTTTAAATTTTATTTATTTATTTTGAGAGGGAGAGAGAAAGAGAGCCACTGGAGGTGGGACAGAGAGAGGGGGGGACAGAGGCTCTGAAGCAGTCTCTGCACTGACAGCAGAGAGCCTGATGTGGGGCTTGAAAGCGTGAACCGTAAGATCACGACTGGTGCCGTATCAGAAGCTTAACTGACTGAGCTGCCCAGGCACCTCCCTGAGCATTCTCTTTAAAAGCAAAACTGCGGGTAGGAGAGTGTTTCCTTTGGGTCCAGCCCCATATCACAGGCTTTGTGTACCGCTTTCTGTCCACACCACTTCTGTAGGCATTCAGGCAGAGTACCTTGTGTGGGAGAGGAGAGGCCATATCTGGGGAGACCCACTTCGCCCTACTTACAAGACTCTGCTCATTAGAGACCCTCAATAAGGACTGATGGGATGGATCTGTTAATAATTTAGGTCTTAACACAAGTTAAGTTGTCTCTAGAAGCCTCTTTATATATATATAAAGAAGTATTTAATTTTAATGGCTACCTTGGTCAAAGTATATATGTGTGTATATATATATATATACACACACACACGTATATATATATATGATTATATATATATGTGTGTGTGTATATATATATATATGATTATATATACGTGTGTGTGTATATATATATATATGAAACACTTATGAAAGGAATCTCTGTCTCTGTTGCCTCTGCCTGGAGAGGGGGTATGGTGAGAGAGAAATATATGGATTTACTTACTTACCCCGCCCAACAACCATTTGGGCAGTATCTAGATTCATCTCATTTACAAGCCATTCTCTTCAAGTTTCCTCAGTAGCTATTACCATTTCTTTATTTCTTAATGACAGTATAGAAGACAAACTAATTTCTACTAGCCTCTAGCTGTGAGATTTATCGAGAAGACTCTAACATGTTTAGAACAACTAACTCAAGAAAAATAAAACATTTATGTCATGGATTATTAACTTTGTCTTGATGAAATTAATGAAGATCCTTTGGGAAATGGAGCTCTCAAGTCCATCTTTCAGTTCTTCCCCTGGATGGCTGCTCTTGGGATGATAATTCTGGGTTAGATGTTTTCAGGAGAACCATCAAGAATGAGGAGTTTTTACAAGATCGTCCATCTCTTGGCTTCTCCACTGCACTGGTCTCAGAAACTCCATCTTCTTCTATTAGGTCTGTGGTCAGAGCTTTTGGTGCTCCAGAGCCAACCAAGCACTATTATAGCAAATCAATTTGGTCCTATTTAGTACAAAGTCCCTTGGAGGAAAAATACCAAAATAAGTGACTTCTAGTAGCTTCAAAAGCATTGCATTTGCCGGTGTGCTGTTGTTTATTTTCCCCTACAAAGCACCGTCTCATTTGGGTGTTTCTCATTCTTGTTCTCTTGACAAGTTAGTTTAGGGCTTGTCTGACTCAGCCAGTAATAAAAAAGTGATAACCAGTCTCTAAGAACCTTGAGACCTTGCTAAGATTTCACGGGCAGCCTTGCTGAGAGGAGAATCTGTAAAGCACTCAGTCTTCAGGACTGCACTGTCCGGAACTTCAGGGCTGCAACAGACATACTGTCACATTGCCACGCCATTTCTATCCAAATGGGCTTTGGGTGTGGGGCAGGCAAATGATAGAAGTTGTGTTGTCTGGTCACCATGGAGCCTGATCCTTGAATTAAGCTGTGGTGGCTAATGTGGTATAATCATAAAATGCTCCCTCAGGTTGGAATTTCTCCTCCTCATGCATTTTTAAAATTGTTGAATGGCTTGATAGATGGAATAATTCTTCTCTCGCTCAGTCTATTAAAGCCTGTGAAAACTCCCCCTGCCCACATGTCCCTGTTTCATTAGGGCCCTCTGTATTCTTCTCTGGTTACAGGTTGTTTGTCAACCTGCTAGTAGAATCCTTTTCTCTGGAGAAGCAGTGAGCTACCCCACACCATAGTTACCTTGGACTTCATGTCACTTTCACTGGTTTCCCTTTTTTACCCTAAACACCCTGATGGAATATATAGCAAAGGTCAGTCATGAAATATAATGGGAGTGGGGCGGGGGCATGATCCTCAATGCCTTTGTCAGAGACAATTGCACAGGTGATCTCTCTGGCTGTACTCAGTTGCCTCGCTGGCCACAGATGGCCACATGCACATTTGGAGCCCAGAGAGCCTCAGGTACGGACAAATGCCCTTCCCCACTCAGCCTTCCATCTCCTCGGATTCGGCGATGAGCAGAGAGCCCTGGCCCCTTTGCCCTCTGCCACCATCTGCTCCTTCGCCAGGCCTGGCTGTGGTATCCTCTCTCAAGACGGGCGGGCTGGCGGCAGTCTGGCAGAAAGGCCTCGCCTAGAGATGGATTTC